TCCAGGTTAAAGCCACATTCTGAGCAGTAGTGATGTTTTGGGGAGATTAACTTAAATTCTGCCTGTTGGGGCACACACATTGACTTCCCAAAGACTTGTTCTCACACAGCCACCAGAAGGAGGGAATTTGCCCACATCCTCCTGTGCCAACAGAGCAGGGCACCCATGTTTGTGCTTTTGTCCCACAAGAAAATTTAACCCTTTCTATTTGCCAGATAAAGAACACTTCAGGTAAAGGGCTCTTAAAGTGATTCACTGACAGAATTAACGCCCCGAGACATTTGGAGTAGAGCAAAAACCCCAGGACTTGGCATCTGAGTCTTGGAAGTAGGAGCTGCTGAGGTGGAGTTCATGCCTCTGTGATACAGACAGTGCTGAGGGGTGACAGGGGATGGCAGTCCTGCCAGGAGGTCCCTGTCCCTCAGGTGGGGTGCAGAGGGATGCTCTGCTCCCTGGAGGCACCAACACTATGTGCAGAGTGATGCCATGCTGAGTTTGCAGCCCTGATCCAAATGTGTGGGAAAGTGGGTGAAAAGAACTGCCACAAAACTCACTGAGAACAGCATCAGGATTTCCCGGAAAGCCCTTCACTTTTACCGATTCACCACCATTTTTAAATGCAGGTTTTGAGCTTTCTTTGGAGTCTAATTAAGGCCCCAATCAGTTTACATGATGAAAAATTTTCCCAACACCAGCATATCAAACACACAGAAGCAACAGTTCTGCTCCTCTCAAAGCAAGCCCGACTCGCCTTTGCTCGTGCGAGGGCACCATGCTGAGTAAAAAGGAAAAATCACGTTCTTCATCAGCACTTCACAGTGAAATTTAAGTTGTCAGTTCCTCACGGGAAATCCTGATGCAACACCCAGCCCGTCCCTGTGAAGCGGAGCTTGGTGAATGTTTAATTATGCCTCGGAACAAACACACGTCGCTGCGTGGGGGCTGCAAGGAGCCATCTGAGCCTGCATGCTAGGCTGCTCTGTCCCAGAAGCAGTTCCTTCAATAGCATTTGCTTATCAAAAATAATTAGAGGTAGGAATGCTGGAACTGCGATTATGAAACAAATGGTAAATCTATTTGCTGAGATGAAATGTATTGAAAGATACATCGAGACACAGCTGGAGACTGAGGTGATACCACAAGGATAACAACTCGAGATCCAATTTCATCTTTCATGATTAAAAAATGAGCAAGAAAGTGTTTTATGAAAAGTGAAGGTTAACAAATGTTCCTTCACAAGCAATGACGACAGTTTATCTTTTGAAACAAATGATCGGGCTAAGGTCTGCTCACAGCTTCTGGAACAGGCTGAAAAGATTTCTGCTGAAAACCTACTGGGGATCAGCACCCATGGCTGGCAGCCCACCCTGCTCCCAGTGCCTGGGACGAAGCCAGCTCCAAAGGGACGCTGCCACAGCTGGGAAGGAGCTGGCACTGCTCCTGCCCTGACCCTCTGCCACAAGTCCATCCCTAGTCCCAGTCCCTGCAGTGGCTGTGGCTCATCAATACCTGCCCTCAGGAGGGTCCCAGAGCTGCAGATTGACAACAAAACATTCCAGGAGCCTTCTGGCTGAATTCCTCTCACTATTCTCCAGGTAAAATGCTCCCTTTATGGTGCAACCACAGTGTGAAGTATGAAAAGTTATTTTTAGGGATGAATTCTGCTAAAATTTGCCTAGTAGACCAAACACTGTGAGCTGTTTAACGAGGAAGAAAAAAAATGTGGGTAGAGACTCTAAATCTACTCATGTGAAGGAATTATATAATGATGGGAATGGTTAATTCTCCAAGAAGAAAAATTCAAATTACCAGGAGGGAACAGACAGTAGAGAAGATCGTGATGGCAACTTTAGCTCCTTCTATTAATAGAACTAATAGTTAAAATGGAGAAAGAAAGAAATATTATGTGTAGAAGCCAATACAAGATGTTTTAAAGCAAAATCTTTATACTTCTATAAATATGGGACTATGTAGCAATGCCCTTATTCCTATCCTGGGAGCCTGAAAGCGTTCCATAGCATCAGGGGAACAGACTCCAGGAGCTCAGCAGAGCCACTCAAAAAACCCCAGTATAAACTAAATTTACTTATCTGTAAGAATACAAGCCATGATAGCTGTAAAGCTGCCTAAACAGCTGAAGGCAAATTAACAACACTGTTATAGAATTCATGTTATTCCTTCCTAGCTGAGTCTTTGACAAATTTCCCAGGATATGACAATTCTACTGCTCTTCCCAACAAAAAACAGTCAAAGCTCCAATATTCTAAATTCAGATAAAGGGAAAATATTTAATGTAAAGGCCATATAAGTTTTCACAGTTTAACCATGTGGCACAAATAGCAACAGACTTCCCCCTTGTCAGGCCAGGAGCTATTCCAACCTTCGAAAGGGAGACAGAGGTGTTACCAGGCACTTTCCAGGCACAGGAATTTGTTCCAGAGACCACGTTTAACTGGTGCTGTGACAGGAGCTGCTGGGCCATGGTCAAACGTGAGTCCCAAGTTGCCTTCCATGGTTCATGCAATGAGTTGCCCTCTCTTCACCCAGCTGGGACATGGGCCACTTTCTGCAGTCTGCAATGCCTGGCTTCTTTTCCATCTCTAGCACAGGCTTCTGGTGCCCCCCAAAAAAATTCACATCAGCTAGGGGCCAGTGGGAAAATCACAGGTTAAGCTTTTCCACCTCAAAGCAGCATTCTCAGAATAAACCAAGGAAAGAAAGCACTCTACAACTCCAGTGATAAAAAGGCCCTTCTAAACCTACCAGCATCAATACTGCTGTCCTTTGGCACTTTACATGTCTGATTTGATGCCACACATTATTTTTGTTATGAAACTAGAATAAACCAAAATCAATACGGCGCTTATTAAATGGACAAAACATGGGGTAGCTCATAGGTCTCAAAAAGCAAATGTAAATTTGAAACACTGTCTAGCTCAGTATTTCTAGCAGGGTTCTGCAACATATAGAATAAAGCTGAATATCTATCTTCAGAGTCAAATTTAAAAACCAAAACAAAAAAAATCACAAACACAACACTTTTTCCAGACCAGAAATGACAAAGTCAAGTGATAAATAATGAAGTGGAGGATGACAGATGGAGAGACCTAGATCACTTGGCAAGCTGAGTGCAAACAAGATAAAGAAAAGATAATGTATAAAGAAGATAAAGTACAAACAAATACTTCAGAAAATAATGCAGCTGTTCTTCCTGGAAAGAAAACTATTCCTGGAAGTAGCTCTCCTGAGAGATTTTGGGAGTCCCTGTGATAGTATCTAGCATGACCCAATTTGTGATACTGTGATGAAAGGCTTCCTCAAAAAGGGAAGATCAAGAACTGAAATATTCTTCATTGACACATCAGAATTATGTCCACAACACAGAAAGAGTATAGGTGAGCTGAAGAAGAACAATCAAAATGCTAATTTGGGGGTGGAAATCTCTATGTTGAATTTGAACTTCTGGAGCTCTTTTTTTTTTAGCTTAGCACAGACAGGGTTAAGGATGCTTCCAGGGCAAGTGGCTTGTGACATTAGTAAATACTCAGTTTTAAGGAGGGTACAAAAATAATTTCATTATAGTGAAGATAGTTAACTCTTTCTTTTCACACCCTTTCCATTTTTCCAAAGGCTGCTTATCTTGTCTTTTCCACCTCAGAAGTGTTCTCCCTTACCCAAGCTACTCCTTCCTCCTTAGATTTTGGGGACACACCCTACCTAACCAGATGTGGAGCTGCAAGTGCTGCCTGTGTGGCAGCATTTCAGCTGGGATATTTCATATGTACCCTGAAGATTTTCAGCTCTAAAACCCTCCTGTGGGCAGGATGCTCTTGTGCACTGCTGGGCTGAAGAGCAAGGTGACAGCTCCCACATGACACCTGACAGACTCAGCCCTTCTGTTTGGCTCAGTGCATAATCTCTCATCTTTAGAAGGAGAAACTTGTTTGTTCAAGTTTACAAAGGAAATATTTACTAAAGATTTTCAGAAATACACTTTACATTGAAAAACATGAAGCATCTGAGCACTGACACTAATCTAGACAGCCCCTGAACACTGCAAGGTTAGAAGGCATTTTACCTCCCTATCTTACAACAGCATGTGGGGTTTGTTTTGCTTCAGATGTTTTACTGGTTGAGCTTGCCTGGGAAATGCTATCGGTGCTTGAGGAAAAATAAAAGAAAACATACACATTAGCTGGAGATCAAGTACATTCTTCCAAAGGAAAAACAAAGCAAAACTCTGAGTGTTTTGCAGTGTGACCCTCATAATAATGTTTGCATTAGGCCTGCTGTCTTATTAATATTCATTTATGTTTGCATAAAGTATTTTGCACAAAACTCCCATACACACCAGGCAAAAAAATCCCATGTGTCGTTATGTATTGCAGACACACATTGACAGAATGGTTCTAACTCTGAGCTAGTGAAGGTCTCTGCTGATTTCCTCAGACAGAAACATTTTTTGAAATTGATCTGTAATTTTTGAGTTTTGCTCTGTTTAGTTAGGAAAGAGACAAGAGCTCCTTGGGAGCAACCTTACTCAAGATTAGAAGTCTGTCTAAAAGCTGTGACTGAAAAGGAAAAGCTAAAGGTTTGGTCAGGTCTCAGTTAATATGCAGGAGTATAGCATCAGAGATATGCAAGGAGAATTAAAGAGTTTTTCCTAACTTACTCAGCAAGCAGAGGTTGTTCTTGTTGGTCCATAATAACAACAAAAAGTCATGACCTTTTTATCTTCACCCAAAAGCCTTGATAGATGGTGAAGATACAAGGCCGTGTCATGGCCTTGTATCTTCACCTAAAAGCAGGATTTCACCTCCCAGACTACAAAATACGCTAAGTGCAAATAAAAAGCCCTGCCTAGACAGTGGAAGAAACTCGTGTCTCTCCTGGGCAGGGCTGGCCAGGCACAAGCACACGCTGTCACATTTTTGGGAAGTCAGACAGCCGGCAGCACCGAGAGGCTTTGGGAAGAGCCTGCAGTACGTCCCTCTATTTACCTCAGGTAATCTCTGCGGCAGAGAATGAGATTTGCTTTTGTGTACAGAGTTGATCCAACCTCTCCAAGACGACAGTCACAGCAGGCACACTTTAGACAGTCTTCATGCCAATACTTATCCAGAGCCTTCAGCAGGTAGCGGTCCTTGATCTTTCGGTTGCAGCCGGCGCAGCCCTTCTGCTTCCCTTTGGGTTGTACGGAGAGCATCGGCACGCCTGCAAGGCAAACACAGCACTCCTTAGAGCACATCCCCACAGCTCGGCCAGGCTCACGGCACTGGGGCAGCTCTGGGGGCAAACTGCTGCTGCTGCCATTGCAAGGAGCTGACAGGCAAAGAAAGCTCACGTTGCATGGAGCTGACAGTCAAAGGAATCCTAGCTTCATCTGCTGTCGCAAATTTGCTGCTGACACCATGCATCAGACTCTTTCTAACCAACACCTCACGGCAGAATAAACTGGCTGAAATTTCAACATTTATTTTCTTCCCCTCATTACCCATACCCTTGTATTGTTAATTGCCTGCCACAGGCAATTAAAAAGAGCAGAAGGGCCATCATGGTATGTACCCCCCTGGTTCAGCATCTCAGTCGAGTTTGATGGGGAAGGGAGAGGAGTGAGTTTAAAAAGATGTGGTATGCCACTGTTTTTCCTCTCTTGTGAATCCTGTGGGTGACAGAGGCCTGACTGAAAGCTAGAGCAGGCCAGGGGCTGCTCCAAAATAAATTTGATTCAAAACCCCTTCAGAACAAGCCCATCGGCACCCCTCTGCCACTAATGAAGCCACATTCCTTAAGCAAAGCAGAGCTTTCCTCCTCCTCTTGTATCACTGGAGAAGGTAGCAAAAAGCCAGGAGTTTCATCCTTCCTGGAAACCCCTGCTGGGATGGCAAAGCAGGCATGAGATAGGAGGGTATGAGGTGGTGACAGCACACTCAGCTCAGGAGGCTGGGAGGGACTTGCTGTGTCCAGATTTTTCCTTTTCTCCAAGCAGCCAGTGCCTGCCATGGTGAGCACTGATGCTCGTCACCCTTCTCAGCTGAAGAGCCAGGCAGGAAAGGACTTTATGGAATCAATAGGCAAGGTGGAAAAATAAACAAGGATTGTACTGTGGGTGAGGGACAGGACAGGAAATTACGAAAGAACAAATTAACTCACTGAGAGGCCAGAATTCCATTTGCTCTAGAGCCTTGATTCAATTTGTTATGATTTTTATTTTTGCTGGTGTCAGTCACTAAAAATGACAATGCTAGGCCTGTAACAAACACACTGTGGGTTTAACCAATGCAGAGATGATGAGAAGGGACATTCTGGAACAGCAGCAGGTGTCACTGGTTATATACTTTACACAAAGTTAATCCACCCTTTCTGCAGGAAGCAGCAGCTTGATAATAGAATTATTAACAGTCCCTTAACCAGAGAGGACTGAACCAGTGCCACTGCAGTAAGTGACATTTGCTGCTTTCCTTAAAAGCCAGGATGACCTGAGAGTGGTTAATGGTCAGCACATGTAAACACACCACTCCCACAGTAATAATTGCTTTGTCAGAGCCCGAGCAGACGACAATAGCACCTAGGACACCTCCACACAAACAGTGAGGTATTGATCCATCTGTAATCGAAGTGGTCTCAGCAGCACAGACAGCCCAAGTAACATCCAAAAACCCTTAAAGAACCCTCCTGCCCTCTGCTGCAGTACATTCAAAACCCAAGTCTCTACAAATAAACTTTTGATACCAGTGACAAATCTGCAATAATTAAGTGAAAACCTGTATGGATATTAGACTGCCACATATGCAACCTGTGATGCTCCCGAGGGAAATTCTACAAAGCCACAGAGAAAGACACACACATTTGGAAAGAGGGACAAGACAGGGAAGCATCAGAAGTGGATTATGCTGCAGGTGCCAGAGGTCGGACTGCAGAAGTCTTGTGTGCCTGGTGAAAGATTCTTGTGAGAATGAGGGAAGTGGCCCTGTGGTTCTAGACACACCTCTGTTTGTTTTTTTTAATCCAAAATACATTTCAATAATAAAAAAAAGCTTCCATTTTTGAGTAATTTCCATGCTCTTCCCTACTCCACTCCAGGAAAACTGCACATTGTGAGAGGAGTCTGCCTTCTTGTGAGGCAGAGAAGGGCAAGCATGTGAATTTGCATTTGTAAGCTGTGTAAGATCAGTACCAGTGATGAAAGAAAAATAGTTTGCACCTATGAAAACTAGGACCTAGATGTGAGAATTATGTTTTTAGATAGGAGCCCCAGACACCACCAAGTCATTACTCACCCCCCAAACAAGCTCTCTAAATGTGTACCCTTAGAGGCAGAGGAGGATTTCTCACAAGAAGAGGGGGGGGCTGTTATCACACAATTCTTTTGCAAGGTTTGTGCAGGTAACACAAGGATCCTGCATCTGGAAAGATACAGATTTCACATAACCAGCACACCTTAAACTCAAGAGAGCTGCTGCATGGATTGGGTTTGAGACCAGCTCTGTGGTTCAGAAATAAAAGATCTTCAGCCAGATGGGACTTGCCAAAGCCTCACTTTTGAAAGCAGTGCCCTTCCAGAGGTCCAGCTGCCCTCACCCAGAGAGAGGGTGCCGATGCAGCAGCACCATCAACCACAAGAGCGGCTGTGCAGGGATGAAACCCCGGCTGGACCATTAGGAGAGGCTGGTTTGATCATTTAGGGCAGGTGAGGAGGGTCTCTGTGGCAAGCAGGCCTGGATAGCTGAGGGATGACTGCAGGGGCAGTTCTTGTTCCATCTGTGGCCCTCGCTCTCCACAGCCATCTGAGCTCCTCGCTATTGCAAGAGCACCACTGTCTTATGAGAGGCTTCTGCAAGTAAGGGGAATGTAACACTTTGATTTGCTTCTAATAACTAGCAAAGGAAAAGATATAGATATATTTTTAAGCAGTACCTTAAGCAAGGAAGAAAGCTATGTATTTGGTCAGCGTTCAGCAGGGGGCTTTCTAATGAAAAAAGGTACCATTTCAGAGATCATATGATGTTCAAAGCTGCTATTCCCACTCAGATAATAACGAGCAAGGTCAGCCTCTGCCGGTCAGGTTCAGTGTTTTGAAATTACATTTTGGGCTGTGAGGTTTCCCTCCGACATCCCAACCAACCGGTCTGCACGGAGCACACAAGCCACTACAGAAAGTTGCAGCTGCAATTAGCTGGTGAGTTGACACAGCAGGCAAGGCGTGAAACAAAATTTCAAAAACTGCCAAACTTGATCAGCAAGGGTTCCTCGAACACTTGCCATGTCATTTCCAAGCAACAAGAGGGAAGCATCTCAGAAGCTTAACCCTTTTCACGGTGAGAGGCTTGCGCAGAGAGGACACAATCAACACCAAACCCTGCTTTCCTCCTCCTGCCTCCCCCTTCCAGCACACCTGAAGCAGCCTGGGCTCTGCAGGCAGAAACCACCTGGAGAACTGCTCTTTCTTTTTGGTAATTTCCCCACTGCAAGACTGGGATGCTGCTTCATTTCTCTGTGTCCATTTTTCCCCAGTACTTGCCTAAAAATGCCAGGATATCCAGTTCAATTTGATAAGGGGCATGTGGCATCTAACTGGGGCTGTCAAGAAACAAAAGGGTCACCTTTGAGAAATTCCACACATGCTCTATGGACAAGGATAAGAAAATGAGAAGGAGTGTTGCAGAACTAGAAATATTACCAGCTGGTCACTCACATATTTAAATATGTGATCACAAGGGAACACTGATTATTGCTAGATTCTGAAAGTACCATCAAGTTGTTCTCTTTTCTCCTGTTGCTAGACATCCAGTGCTCTCTTTTCTTAGAAACAGTAGATGAATCCTTTCTATTTCTGGCTACCTACACTCCCTTCTTTGCCCTTTATAGCTTAATAGACTTGCTGCTGGTAAATACAAAACTAAACCCGCTCTGAGTGCTCAGAGCTCCAATACACATTAAAAAATTATAGACACCACCTCTGGACTTACTGAAATTTATGTCTGTGTCTAAAGAGGCTGTTATTGTAGTGAGTAATCTAAACTTTACCACTATTCACAGCTGGACAAACAAGCTTTAATCAGCCTGTATCTGCTCAGAGTCTTTCTGTAAAATGATTCAGCTGGCTTTATAACACAAGTGTCCACTAAGTACACCTCTAAATTTTTCTAAGCCATTTTACTGATATTTCTTTTCACATGGCAATCAGCTGCAGTTCCTCTAAGGGCACTGTTCATAAAGCCTCCTTTCCAAGAGAGCCTGGGAACTTTTCATAAATGGCAGACCTTTTAAATAACAGTTATCTGCACTGGTCCTACGGCGCACGGCTCCACAGTGCTCTGGTCTGCAGCAGAGCTAGAGGTCCCCTCTGAAAGCAAGGAAGTTCACCACCTAATTTCTCTAATGCAACTCTAAAGGTTAATTGGTCTGAAAGAGTAATGGGGGACTGCTAGCTAATGATATATGCCTCAAGGCTTTGCAGCTTGCCTGTATTTTATACAGTCGAGTCCAGAGCATAAAACACAGGTGATATCACCAGGACTTTTCAGACCCCCCTCCAGTCCAACTTGCCCCCCTGAGCCCTCGGCTACACCCACAGGAGTGGGGAGAAGGCAGCAGGAGCTGGAGACAGCTCTGTTCCACCTGCATTTCATGCCTTGTTAGAGGGGGCTCGGGGAAGTGTGCGGCTGCACTCCTCATTACCTCTGCGGAGAACTAAAAACAGCCCTAATGAGGAGAGCCAGCGCGCACAGTACGGGCTGGGAGGAGGGACGGCCTCCCTCTCTCCCCAAGGAATCCGGCCAAAATCTTCAATTTGCCATTTATGACAGCTAATTAGTTATTCTATTCAAAATCTTTGCTTTAAATAAAAGAACTAATTATACACAAAGGTCAGTCCCCCACCTCCTGTGAAGCACACATAATTGGCTTATTTCCCCAACATTGTGTGTATGTTTTACACAATGCTTTCAGGCAGATGGCTTTAACTCTTTCCCTCGACAAGTTTTTTGGTGTTGGCTTTTTTGTTGTTGTTGGGGTTTTTGTTTGTTGTTGCTGTTATTTTGTTTTTCTTTTTTTAAAACCCCAAAACTTCTTCTCAGAGTAGCTCCTTTAAGAGTAAAAAAGCTTGTTCAACAACAAAACAAATAATTATGCGCACACACACACACACGATACATCTACTCTCCAAAAGGTTTGTTACAATCACTCCCTGTTGTACAACACCTTGCACAACA